AAAAAAGCGAAAAATTAAATGAAAAAATTATTTATTTTAGTTGAGATATTTTTGTGTCACAAATAAATAAAAAAGATATAAGCCAGCTAGAGATGTCACTCTTAGACGGTTACCTCGACTTGTCCACTAGACCAGTGTTGCAGCGCTAAAGTTCAAATTTAATATACGGTCTTGCTTCAAAAAAGAAGCAAGTAGTTTAAACTGTTCGGCACCGCTGAACGATTTAAGGATCATGCGCAAGCCCTAATTTGTTTGCTTCCGTTAAACAGATCGCCTTGATCAATGAATTTAATTTTTCGCTTTTTTGCCTTTCTAAAGCGACAAGCTCTCGATCAATGAAATCTACACGCCAGCGTGCGACACGCTGAGCTCACACGCACGTAAAATGCTTTTACCCCACAGTAGATGTAACTCGATGTCCTCCACAAAGTAGCAACTTACGAGGCACATAAAGAGGTACACCCCTTTAAGTAACTCCTGACTTGACATATGTAATTACATGCCTTAAGTCCATGTTCCGATTAAACGCTACTATAAACGAAAAAACTATTGCTTAAGTAAAATATGTGAGTACGCAACGTGCAGAACAAAGAAGGAAAGAAAATCATATGTCACGTTTTAAGGTTAATACATTTACTGTACATACCACGTGAAGGACAGAACAGAAAAACTTTCTATTAGAGTTCTATCGTAGTGTAAATCCGTCTTTTTCTTGATATGGCATGCAGAATCTGTATGTGGGACATAAGGACACATTCAGAAAGAAAAGAGAACAAGCAATTCGCTTTCCTTCTTTCTCCATTCGTTTGATGAAAACTTTTCCTCTTTTCTTTTTGCACACATTCTTAACGATCCGAATGTATATGTATCTTGTCGTATGTGAAATAAAGAATTTACGGTCTACGATAGAACTCTAATATGGATGAGAACAATTTGAAGATTTGAAACTTTGAGCATATTGATATACTAGAGCTCTAGCAGTTAAAAAGAATACGATTGATTCTCATTCCCATTGTTTTTTTCTGTCTATGACTCATTTTTGCGTTACAAGCAAACGAAAATCTATGAAATGGGTTCGCAAAAATGAGTCATAGATAGAGAAAAATAATGAGAATCAATCGCATTTTTTTTAACTGCTAAAGCTCTAATGTGTCTTGAATATCTGTTGAGTTATAACTCCTTTTACAAAGGCTTTTCTAACCCGAAATATTTAACGTGTTTAAATTATGACGATGTGACTGTCGGTCTAAACATGTTATTTCCAATACATCACATTGATAGTACTATTATGAGATAAATAGTCGTCAATAGCGTCATTATGATTGGTATTTTCCTCATATCTTGCTAATAGTGACTTTATTTGATCGTGTGCTAGTTCTGTTGAAAATTTCAGAATGAGCAATTCTGTGTGTGAAGTATCTAATTCCAAATAATCTTTATATTACGCAGCTTGTTTAACTTTGAGTTTGTTGAGAGAGAAGGATGTCGTGTAATGGCTGATCGACAGTTTTTTTCTCATGCTTTTCTTTTAATATAAGTTTCGTCTGTAGAAAGAGAACAAAAAGACTGAAGTTGCCGTTATTTTACCCTTACTAAGAGTACTATCCTTCTCTCTGTTTTATTTTTCATTCATACAAGAAGAAAAAATGATGTTATGTGCATTGCACTTTTTTCTCCTGTTTGTCGCATTTTTTTTGCGTCTTTCTGAGTTATTCTATATTTTGAAGTCGTTTGTTACTTTTTCTTTTACACAGATTAAACAAGCTGATTGCTATGATGCTTTGAAAACCGCCAGACAAAATTATGTTGTGTGAAACTAGACGGACATTACATTCAAGATCGGAATCAAAGTAAGCGTGTAATACTATGTTCTCACAAAACATGCCAACTCTGGTCTCTCAGTAAGAAAACTCAGTATTTAAAACACGTGCAGGTCTGCTGACATCCAGACTACAGAATGAACAAATTTTCATAAGTGCTATATGAACAAATCTTGTATGCTGGCACTCCTCTCTTTTTCTGCTTAAACCAAAAGAACATGGTAAAAGTGTTTCTATTGCTCGTTCAAGTGGGGTATAATGACTTATCTTTACCCCAATTTTTCAATCAGTTTTTCATTAGTTTCAGAAATTAGGCATAATTAATGATTGTTTAGAAACTCACATTTGTTTTAGTCTTTACTAACATTGTTTGAGCCCTGAATAAACAGATTTTCTCAATGTTTTACCTTTTCTACTATATACTAGGAACTAATGAAAGCCTTTTAAAAGTAGTGAACCTTTACACGAACTGAAAAAAGACTTTACTTGATAGTACAAAAGTAAGCTCATTTATTCTATAACGGTATAATTATGAGTTTCACATTTTAGCACCGATAGGTGCTACCCTGCCAAGGTTTTCTACTATATACTAGGAATCAATGAAAGCCTTTTAAAAGTAGAGGGATCCATAGAGTTTTGGACGAGTCTACGTTCTCATCTACCTGGCCTCCAGGGAAGTCTTTATCTTCCGCCAGTAGTGACAATGTCACAAAACATTTGGTTTTCTAGTCCTTTTCAAGTTCAGACTTTGATCTTTCCCAACAGAAAAATAATTAGCTTTCCAGCACATCGGAGACATGTAGAAATAATGCTCGACATTTGTCCATTTATCTTTTGCATCACCCGTTATAGTTCAACTCATTCGTTTCAGTCACAAGAGGAGGAAATTTTTGGTGTTTTTTAATGTAAATCAGCTAAAAACTCTGCTGTGTCTTGAATTATCTATACCCATTTTGTTTTTTCTTATAGGAGTGAAGACGATGATGAACCATCAACTCGAAAAAGTATGAAAAGGTCAGTGAATTTAGGAAAATAATTACAAATAAATAACTTTATTTTTCTAACGAAAATGAAGAAAAATATGATGTTGTTTTGTTTTATTTTGTAGACAATTTCGTAATGAAAGCGAGAAACGTCGTCGTGATCAGTTTAACCAGTTGATTGGTGAACTGAGTTTAATCATTGGAGATCAACAAAAACTCGATAAATCATCGATATTAAAAGAAA